GATGTACATGGGCACATTATTTTTGCAATGTATGTACTACATATACATTATTAATATGTTTGTTCCATTTTTATGTAATCAATACTATCATACAATGTAATTATGAATGTAATATACTATGTAGTGGCGGTATACATTTCTATATTTCTACATTTTTATCTATTTCATTTCACTCCATGTCCTTGATCTTCCGTGCGTCGGTGTTTGCGTTCTTCCTGGGCTTGGTCCATTCTGCTGGTTTTGATGTACAGGACTTGTTTGTGACCCCGGTTGCCCATGCGTGGTCCATCTTGAACAGGACACCTGCAACATGGTTGCATGTGGATCCTAAACTGTAAAAAAAAATATTTTGAGTACTATTAAACATTTGTCCTGACTGAGTTTGGATTATATTATCAACTGAACATGAAAAAATACAAGTGCCATTACAATATTCTGTAGGACTAATTGCAACAAGTATAGTATAGTACTAGTGCATATTTAAGTACTAGTGCCATTGTCCTAGCTGGAACTTAAAATGGTCCAACATGCACTTGCAAATGAAAAAAAAAAAGATTTCTAAAAGTGCTTGATTCAAATGTTTATTGGTGTTTTCGCACTATATGCTACACAATACATGCTAGTTAGTTAGTCCACTACTTTGTAAGTCATTCAATTATTTGCCATGTAATAAAATGTCTATTGATGTTATACAATACATGCAGCTTATGTTGGCCTACTACTTTGTGAACTGTCTGATTATTTGCCCTATAGAAAAAATACATAATTTGTCAATATTACCCAGCAAAGCAGCTGCAGTACGCTGTCCGGATTTTCCCAGTTGATTTTTGGAGTGCGACCCACACTCGGTGTGCCTCATCATTTTTTTCTCTGTGATCTGCCACTGGTTGATTTTACAAAGCAAACATTTGAATTCTCATTTATTGGATGATACAAAACTTCATTGATGAAGCCAGAATCAAAGTACGAAAAGGCTTTGCCATCCTTGTAATCCCCCATTAGCCTCTTCTGCAGCTGTACCTCTCCATTAGCCACAAGGTACTCTGCCATGTCCCCCATACATAGTTGGTGGCCAGTGCTGCATCCCTTCTTCCTCTTTCTTCCAGCCACTTTTCAGGTCAACAAAGGGGTCGGGAGTTGTCTGCCATCCACAGTCAAAAGTGATCTGTAGTCTTCGCATCTAACAAAATAAACAGTATGGTGTCAATCATAGAGATCAAATCAATGTGGAGATGAGTTTGAAATATATCGTTGGTCCCTAAATGAAAGACCGTTCTGGTTCATTTCTAGACTATTCTGTATAAATATTTATTAGATGCAACAATGGATGCAAGTATAATTTATGTAGGTGAATTTGGAACTCGTTAGGTCCCCTTCGTTACTACATTTTCTAGACAAGTAACCTTACATGTTCAAACAATGCCCAGAGTTCTATGTACAAAACAGTCGTAGTAAAATCGCCCATGCACACGATGAAGGGTGGTTATAAGGACTACACAAATACAGACATGGAAACCCTTATTTACACGTGGACATGTACAAAGAACAAGGAAAATCACCTCTTTTGTTGTTCTTCCTCGGGAGTCGGAACCAACGGATGGCGCATTACTGTGGCTGAAAAAGCTAGGGCCCTGAGTTCATGGACGCTACCCGTCACCGGAAGTCCCCTCGCTCGCAAAAAAGGCTGCAACTGGCGTTTTGGCCAAAGTTTAAAGTCATCCAGCGATGTTTCTGCATCTGGCGTGATTGGAACGCCAGCCATTGTTTACATCCGAAGTGACACTGAACCTTGACCCGGACCACAATGCATCGCGCGCGCACATGCGCAGTCGGAACTGCGAGGAGGCTTATTGAGATAATACTTCCGGGTAGTCTCTACCAGAGTGACGCTATAGTAGACTATTGGTCAGGGAAGTTTTGGCAACTTGCTATATTATGTAACCCAACACCAGTTACCATGGTCACAAATATAAAAAATTTCCTTGTTAGATAATAATTTATGATTGCAGCTTCCATTTTTCTGTTGCGGTCCCCGCGAGACGGAGCGATGACGTCAACTCTCCAGAACACACGGTCTCCAAGGCAACGGAGTAACCATGGAGACGAGAACATCCCAAGGGACGCGGAGGAAAGATATACGCGGCAGGTCTTGGATCTCGTGTGTTACGACGCCGGTTCGAGTAGTTCGCTGCAGAACTTCACGCGTGTGAAGGAAGGGACGGAGTGCGTGTTCGCCAGGTCGGCAAGACTGTGGGGGTCGGCGGATTGGGCGGATCAGCTCAGCTTAGGTTGGTTTACTAGTATATAGCACGTCGGCAGAACGTACTGCACTTTGCGCGAAACCCGTGATGTATTGTGCATAGCACTTTGGCAGAACGTCTGATATAAGGTCGCATTCGCGTATATAAGGTGAGCATCCCGTCTGTAGTCTCCAAATGTTATGTCCCGCACATTCGTTGTACTAAATTCAACACGAATGATTCAATTATTTCAATACATTCAACTTACGACGTTTTTTTTTTTTGTTGTTGTTGTTTTCTTTCACTCTGCCTTGTCCTGGGATTAATCCTGCGACGCCCAACGAAACCATTTCTTCCATATTAAGAGGAAAATGCAAGAAGGTAAGGACATCCAAAAATTCTGAAATTACAATTTTATATGCTTTTAACAGAATAATCTGATTTCGTCGTTTGGAATTGCAATGGATTTATCGCTGTGTTTGAGTAATAAACAAAGCAATAGATAGGTACATGTAAACGTAAACATTATGCATTTGCTATGCAAATGTTACCCTTCTAGTT